CATACTGTCACCTCTTTGTTGACATCTCAACAGATGAAGTCGGTTTTGCATCGTAGCACTTAGCCTTTCTTTCTATATCCGTCTGGCCGTATCTTGGGTAGCACAGCACTCATCGCGGAAAAGAAGGTTAAAGGATCGCTTTTCATGTATTTCGTTGCCCATTTCATTCGATTTTCTTTACAGATGAATTTTTTTTTTAATGAGACAGATTGATTGGTCTCACACGTTCTGACGTTTGATTTATCACCCGACATCTTGTGTTTTTTGACACTTCCTCGCTGACACAATGCCCAAGAATTTTCTCTTTTGACAAAGACTGATATTTTATAACTTTTCTCTTGATACAGGATACAGATCAGCGAGAGAAAGTCATCAACATTCACTTCTCAGACAGGATCTTCAACGAACTTAGTCACAATCCATTGCTACTTAAGAATTATTTTTGTAATTTCCAGCATTGTTTTAACTTTTGTAATCTCTGAATTTATAATACATTTTGCTTTATCCGTCAACTCAGTGTAGTGGCCCATTTTAAAGCTTCATTGGAACTGTTGATTTCATACATTCAAATTAAGAATGTGTCATACGAATGACTGACATTTGTTTACATCTGCGCACAACGAACCGGTTTCCATTCTAACTGCGCAGACAGATATCGCTACCATCAGTAAAGAAATCTTATAAGTATATAGTTCAATTAATATATCAATTTATGGAGACATGGATACTAACAGTATTTTAATGCATACATTATGTTCTACTAGCGAAGTGATTTCGCCATTAATCGCATTAATATTGCTGATTGATTCTATGTATGATTATGTATATATATATATATATATAAAAGTGAACATTGAAGTCAACACTCAGAGGCTAGGCACAATCGTCAGGCCGCTTGACGATTGATTCTAGCATGAAATAGCCTGTCGCCACTGAGTGTTGACTTCAATGTTCACTTTTATATTTATATTTACATATGCTCTATCTCTGATATTGAGCACTTTATTCCATAAATATAGCATACATTAAAACTATATTTATTAATATATATATATATATATATATATATATATATATATATATATTAATAAATATAGTTTTTAATGTATGCTATATATATATATATATATATATATATATATATATATATATATATATATATATATATGATAAAGGTTTAACGTATATGATATAGTTTTAACGTATGCTATATTTATGGGATAAAGTGCCCAGTATCAGGGACAAAGGGTATGTAAATATAAAAGTATGAAATATATCAGCCATGTGCCTAAAATTGCGTTTACCATGAAACAAAACGGTCGCCTCTGGGTTTGACTTCTTTTTTTATTTTTTACTATTAATAACGAATAGGAAACGTTTATAAATTTGACATGTTTCGCTTTTATGAAAGCTTCACCATAGAATGAGATTTGGTTGATAAAGGAAAATCAAAAAAAAAAAAAAAATAGAAATTGCAGAATTTTTTTTTACATCTCAATCTCTGATGAAACTTTAATAAACGCGAAATAGGTTTGATTTATAAACTTTTCCTATTTGCTCTTTAACTTATTCTGTAGGATTTCTATTCACATTTGATCAGTATTTGAACCTAATTCATATATACCACCTTTCCTTTTATATAGTCATCCACAGACAGACTGTTTCGCTGTATCACAGCTCATCAGTGTGGTTAGATGTCCGTTTTGCCTTTGACAACAGTTTTATAAATGAGGATCACATCATTCAATGGATTAACCCGACTGAAATGGCGTCAATTAGAGATTCTACCACTAAGCCGTCGGCGCACGGTAGGGATGAAGGTGAATTTAAGCGTGTTTATTTTTAGATAAACACACAGTGACTGAAAGGTCTCAATTCGCTTTACCAGAATGTCATGCTATATATATATATATATATATATATATATATATATGAAGAAATATAGTTTTAAGGTGTGCTATATTTATGGGATAAAGTGCTCAATATCATAGATAGAGTGTATGTAAATATAAAAGGGAATATTGAAGTTAGCTCATCGGTCTCCTCCTCCCTACTTCTACTTCTCCCCATACCTCCTAATAAGTCCCCTATAACATACCCTCTCTCTTTCTTTCTCCAAATAAACAGTATCCCACAACAAACTGATACCATAAACAGTTTGAAAAACCCGGCGAATTTTAAAATTAAAATTCGTAGGTGGAAATGGTTATTAACTAAAGGTATCTTAATTCCTATTAAATTTGCTCTGTTTAATGAAAATAAACATTGACCGCTCTTTTATGAGTCAGATTTAGCATATTTCAAATTCTATGTTGCGTTAATAGTACTCGCCTGGATTATACCAACGGATTATTGCTTCTCTCTCTCTCTCTCTCTCTCTCTCTCTCTCACACACACACACACACAGATATGTGTGTGTGTGTGTGCCTATGAGTCAATTGTCCTTGGAAGTTCAAATATAGGAAGATAAATGCCGAGTCGAAAATCTGAGAATTGCTTTCATAAAAAATCATAATTGAACGGGAATTTGAAATAAAATAATAAACTGAGGGAAAATTGTCGGAAGGGGTGGGGAAGTTAAGCTAATGTTATTTCTCCTATATTTTCTGTTTCAAGTGACGGAAAATCACGAAAGGAATGATTATAGCAGCAGCAGCAACAGCAGCAGCAGCAGCAGCAGCAGAAGAAGAAGAAGAAGAAGAAGAAGAAGAAGAAGAAGAAGAAGAAGAAGAAGAAGAAGAGCAGGAGGAAGAAGAAACAGACGAAGAATCAATTGCAGAAGAAGAAATTGCAGTAGAGGAAGATATATCATCATCATCAGTTGCAGCACCCGCAGCAGCAGCAGCAGCAGAAGAAGAAGAAGAAGAAGCCAAAGAAGAAGAAGAAGAAGAAGAAGAAGAAAGAGAACGTCCAGTATGGTAATTAAAATGAAGAAGGAAATTACGTTGCTCAGCTGAAAACCGTTTCTCAAGAAACACTGCGATGAGTTGATGTTGCTTTACTTGAAGTCAACACTTTCGGGACCATTCTCTCCCCCACTCCCCACACCCGCGCGATTTAGCAAATATGGTGCCTGAATCTTTGTATGTATGTATGATGATACGAGTATACGTCACTACTTTTTGTGTTCGTATGCGTGTGTTCGTGTGTGCGCCATTCTGCGCGTGCTTGCATGTGTGTGCGTGCGTGCGTGCGTGCGTGTGTCTGTGTTTATATATATGTGTGTGTGTGTGTGTGTGTGTGTGTGCGAGTTTGTATGTCTCCTTTGTTGGCCGGCCTGTTTACTTAGCAGAATAAGTAAGCCATCAGTGAAATGTAGCGTGACTTGTGCTCAGTGGCCGATGAAAAGAGAGGGATGCCCTCGGGGATAGGGTAGGGTTAGGGGCGGTGTACTCCTCGAAACTGGAGCGAGGGAAAGAGAGAGAGAGAGAGAGAGAGAGAGAGAGAGAAAGAGGTTAGACGAAAAAAAAGGAGAGTAAAAGAAGAAGATAGATGACAGAGGGAGAGAGAGAACGAGGGGTGATTTTAATCCTGAGAAAGAAAAGAGAAAAGGAATTAGAAAAGAGAGAGAGAGAGAGAGGGAGAGAGAAAGTAGGTGATATAGAGGAGACAGAAAGAAACATAAGAAAGGGAAGAAGATGAAAGGAGAGAAAAAGAAAGAAGAATAAATACATGAGAGAAAGAGTTCAGTGGGTGCAATAACAAAAGGGTAAAGGAGTAACTGAATTGGGAGAGAAAAAGAAAGTGGAAAGACAAAGAAACACGAGAAAGTGATGAATACAAAAACGTGAAAAACGAATGGGAAGATATATATGTATATTCTATTCCCTATTTTTTTCTTTTTTAGTGGATAAACATATTTTGAGTCGACGGTTCGTTTATTTATTAAACAGTATATTTATTTATTTTTTGTCTACCGGCCTGAATATTCGAGAAATCTTATTAAAGAAAAGCATGCACTCGACGGCTGGAATCGAACCTGCATCCCACATTTACAGGAAAAACCGTCGTGAGGTCCGACGTGCTCAAAACCGACTCAGCCACGGAGTGCGTCGCCGATCAGGTGAAGTGGAATAGTGCCTTATAAACACAAATCTTTCCTAGATTCTCAAAACGTTCATATTTTCTCAGTTTATTATTCTTCAATAAGATTTCTCGAATATTCAGGCCGGGACAATCTGCATTTTGAGCGAGCTAGATGTAACCATAAATTCTACGCTAACAGTTTCTTTTATTGCAGTTCCGGTTCCATGTTTTCCAACCAAATTTAATCTTCAAAAAGTTAATTGCAATGTCAATCGCTATATTGTGTTCTGATTACTCTTCTTTTTTTCTCGCTCATGGACAATTTTTTCTGCTCCTAACCCTTGCACACCCCGTAAGCCTTTGTGTCGTAGTGGCTTTGTTGCCTTGAAGTGAACACGATTAAAAAAATGCTTTCTTCATCCTGAGGTTACTTGACTTACTGATGTACTTACTTATATAAAAGAGGGTGATGAAAATTTATCGTAGGCTAGCTTGTCATTTATCAAATTAGTGCACATATGAATGACCGAATTAAAACAACCAAAATAATTATTTTTTTGTTTTTTTAAAGCTTTCACCCACTAGCATGCAATGGGTTGCAGAGAGTGAGAGCAAGAGTAAAGATTAGTGTTTGAGGAAAAGATAAAGGGAAGGATGTGGAACAAGATAAAAGCATCAGAAGATGACGATTGATATTACATTTGAATATATGAAGATTATATCAGCGAAGTAAGAGGAAGGGAGTTTCACTGTTGGGAAATGCGAAAGAAGAGGCATAAATCTTATACGGTTATGGACTCCAGTTGTCAGTTCAAGATATTGCAGCCGTCTGGTCACGTGGCACGGCTTCGGATTCACCCGTTCGTCTAAACTCGTTACTGACTGGTAATAGCTGCCTTGCAGAGTTTCATGGTCATTTATATCAATTCGTGGGCACCATATTCCCCAACGAAGAAAGGATAATCCATCAGGATATGCACCATGTCAACTGTCCCAAGGACTGTTTTGAAGTTTAAATAAATATTCATTCAAACAAGTTTAATTAACAAGAAATGACAAGGTGTGTCTAATTTTTTTTAGTTTTTAATTTTCGGTGTTGATTATTGTATTTGAAGTTGTGAATAAACTGTGTGAAGTTCGTATTTTTGGTTCAGTTATTTCTAGTTTTCGACTTTCAAATTACTAATGTTGCGCAAGCTATTGATAGTAAGCTATTGCTTGATATTAATGTTTTGTGCAAGAATACATAACATGTAGGCCTGTTAATAATATATTTTGTTCATATCTCGATCTATCTATCTAGCTACCTCAGCCTGTTCGCATCTATCTATCTATCTAGCTATCTATCTATCTCAAACTGTTCTCATCTATCTATTCCTATATAGCTAGTTAGCTAGCTGGCACAGTCTGTTCATATACATATCTATCTATCTATCTATCTAGCTAGCTAGCTAGCTAGCTAGATAGATGTGAACAGACTGAGCCAGCTAGCTAAATAAGTCTGTTCACATCTACATAGCTATCTATCTCAGTCTGTTCCTATCAATCTATTTATCTATCTATCTTGAAATTGTGGATAGACTGTCGGAAGTTCATTTTTTTTTTGTTGTTTTAGTTCGACTATTTTCAGTTTTCGACTATCGCAGTCATTACCAAGAACCGATGTTTACATCCTGGTATTCTTTAAAATTATCTAACGAACGATGTCTAAATGAAAGATTGCTGCCCATATATATATATATATATATATATATATATATATATATATATATATATATATATATAGTCTTAAGGTGTGCTATATTTATCAGAGATAGAGCGTGTGTAAATATAAAAGTGAACATAGAAGTCAACACTTAGAGGCGACAGTCTGTTTCATGCTATATGCAATCGTCAGGCCATATATATGTGTGTGTGTGTGTGTGTGCGTGTGTGTGTGTGTGCGTGGTGTGTGTGAAATTACACAGCAAAATGGAAAGTTACAAGCAATAATTTCGAAGCTATACTATCTGTAAAAGCGTTACATTTCAGTGAAGCAAGGTTTTCTCTTCCGTTGCCACGTTTTTTCACTCTAATTCTCATAACCATTTTTACGACTACCTCATCTATCCCATCCATATCGCACTTCAGATTCTTCCATTGTATCTGTTTGTGTGTGTCTTTCCTTTTCTTAGGGTGACACGTATTTTTAGATTTTATTTCTCAACTCTCGAGAATAGCTAACGTTTGTTGCGCAAGGTATTGATAGTAAGCCGAGCTTTATATTAATGTTCTGCGCATGAATAAACATGTATGCATATTAATAATAAATTTGTTCATATCTATCAGTCTACATATCTCACTTTTTATACGTACATATCACCATCTATATCTTCTGATCTATCTCAGTCTTTTTCATCTATCTATCTATCTATCTATCTATCTATCTATCTATCTATCTATCTATCTATCTCAATCTGTTCATATATCTATCTATTTCAGTCTTTTCTTATGTATGTTTCCATCTAATTCACTCTGTTCATATCTATCTATCTATCTATCTATCTATCTCAATTTGTTCATATATCTATCTATTTCAGTCTTTTCATGTATGTATCCATCTAATTCACTCTGTTCATATCTATCTATCTATCTATCTATCTATCTATCTATCTATCTATCTATCTATCTATCTCAATCTGTTCATATATCTATCTATTTCAGTCTTTTCTTATGTATGTATCCATCTAATTCACTCTGTTCATATCTATCTATCTATCTATCTATCTATCTATCTATCTATCTATCTATCTATCTATCTATCCGTTGCTTGTAATGAAAAAGCACTTATGTTAAATTCAATACCCATTCAACCACAGCTTGTGTCAATCAGAAAAACAACTGGAAGGAAAATGTATGTAGCAGAAAACAACAAAAACAACGACAAAAAAACAACCACTCTTGAAAATAGTGCATTTCCACGGCGTCTCTCGTTGTCTCGTTCCGCAATGCCGGAAGTGACGATGCATCCCACTCGAAGGACTTTCTTCTCAGGCATTGTTCAATGGAAAGTAAAAGAGGCGGAAAATCGCCTTTGTCGACCGCTCGCCAAATTCGGATGCCAATGTCCGCCAGTTTTCTTTCAAACACTTTTGTTGCATCAATAAGTATCGACACAGAATTGGGAAGAAGAGTTTTAATCATATAAAACCAATGGAAAGAAGAAGGACATTCAAGAGAAAAAAACTTTCTTTCTTCTGCACTTGATTTTCCTCTCTTCCCACACTCTTTAGTTCCCTCTTTCTTTCTTTCTTTCTTTCTTTCTTTCTTTCTTTCTTTCTACCAAACTTTTTTCCGCTCCGTTCATCATTTAATTTTTTCCTGTATTTAATACAGTTTTATGAATTTTCATTCATTGAAAGAAATAAAGTAAAAAAAGGATAATTATGAAACCTCAAGATGTCATCTATAACCATCAAAACTAGTGTGCTTGAAACAGGCCAGAAGAGCGCATATAAAGACATTAGAATACCTGAAACGTCGGAAAAATTATATATATATATATATATATATATATATATATATATATATATATATATAGTTAAACCTAGAGAGCCAGACAAACCTACCAAGGTTTTACCTAAGCGGATCGTCAGGGACAGCCAGCTTAGGTAAAACCTTGATAGTTTTGTCTGGCTCAATAGGTTTAACTAGGTCTGCTCTACTTACCGTATTGAGCACTTTATTTAGTTGTTTTCCTTACTCTTATCGGGGTTTTTTTCTTTGGGCTTTGGACTTGAATGCTAGACATTTATTTTCGGCTGACGTACATGTTCTTGGTTCTTTCTTTTTTTATACCTTTTTTCCCCCTTTGGTATTGGTTTGATTATTTGCAAATCAAGACACCGAAGGTTTTCCAGACGGGTATAATTTCTTATACTTATAAGATGATTACTAGTATCTATCTGTATATATATATATATATATATATATATATATATATATATATATATAAATAAGTTGCATGAATATAAGTTTGCAACCCTGGGTTTCACAATTTTGCGATCATCAAAATTAGTCTGATGATCGCAAAAGCGTGAAACCCAGGGTCACAAACTGATATTCATACAAGTTATTATATTAGCTCTATCACTGATATTGAGTGCTTTCCACTAAGTACCGCGCATATAATACACACACACACACTCACACATATATATATATATGTATGCATATATATATATATATATGCATACATACATACACATACGCATATACATATATATATATATACACACACACACATATATATATACACAAACACACACACACATATATATATATATATATATATATATATATTATATCGAACTGGTAATAACAAAGTGTTACATAATGTTCTGTGGAGATTGATAAGCATCAAACTCTACAAGCGAACATAAAATATCAGCCCCTACAGGAGGAAGGTAATGTTGTGTGTGTGTGGTGGAATTTCCAGGCATTACTTATTATAAAAACTTAAAATGTAATATAACTTTAAATGCACATACATGCGTCCAGCATCTACAACATGGCTATTGCACTATTTAAAAGGTAAGATGTGGTTATTTTCTCAGGCAACGCAAGACTACATACAGCAAGAATAATAAACAATAAAAAAATATACCATCCATGATTCTTACCTTCTTTGATCGCAGCAAAAATGTTTGACGAAGAAAACTTTATCTAATGAAAACCAAATTTAAGAGTTTGTCGAAAGGTTTTTCATATCAAAACATGAGGAATTTTACTTAAATGGCATTGAAGAGCTGCCTGATAAGAGGCAACAAGTCACTGAAAATAATAATGAATATACCGTATATAATCGCTAATTTTGAAGCTAATTTTAAGGGGGTCGTATCATACACGAGATATTAACATATCTACTTCTCGCCCTGGCTACGACATTGGACAAAGTATATGTACATTTACTGTAGTCCAAATCTACAGCTGTATTTAAAATAAACATGATTTTCATAAAACTGATGTTTTCCTTAACTGTATCCAATAATAATGCATGTAATATTCACATATTAATATCGTATTATAAAATACAAACAGCGAATATGCATCTTTTTCATTGTTTACGTTTCTAAAATGTTTAGCTGTTTTCTCGTTCGGTTGTTTATGGTTGTAGGCGTTTACGCAACGAGTATAGCGTTACTAACGATACTTTTATCATTCTCTTTTATTTTTTTAACTGATTTAACTCTAAGATGGAATAAAGAGATAGAGGAAAAGAGGTCAGTCTATTGTAATTTGGTCTCTCATAAAAGAACTCGCATGATACACGAGATTCATTATAGACTCATGATAAAGAGTGAAAATGTGGGGATCGTACAATACGCGAGATCGCGCGATACACGAATATATACGCGCTTTTCTATAATAGAATAAAATGTAATTGTGTTATATTTTCTAAAGAATAAGATTGATCGAGAAAAATTGGAATTATTCATGACCCATCCTAATAAAAAAATAAAGCTGCCGTTGCGTAGTGGTGAGACCAGTTTATATTTAGAGAAAGCCACTACTGGTACTTGAACATACCGAGTAAAACTGATAAAAGTAAAATGAAGTCTTTTTCTAACCAGCATTGAGGAGTGGCCTTAATTGAAAATAACAAACCTTCACACAAGACTTGGAACTGAACTACCAATTACTTTATATGACTTATATATATATATATATATATATATATATATATATATATATATATATATATATATATATATATATACTTTACATGCATATCGATCTAGAATCTGATTGGTGAAACCAGGAACTCGTATGCTGATTTTTAAGGGTCAATGCAATTACCCTTTTCACATTTTTGACGGGTATCATACGAAGCTTAGGTTGGTCAAGAAAATTATTAACACTTATTTTTTCTCATAACTTACAAAATATGGCATATTACAGAAACGAAATTTTTTTTAGTGTTTAAGAATTAAATCTTGCATTGTTATGTGTGAGGTTCGAACCGTTTGTAGGACGATGTCAAGCAGTAAGTACTTAGGCAAGAAATGGCAGGAAGGTTTAATAAGAGGGGATCAAAGGCATTTTCGTCGTATCGAAAGCGTCTTCGAGGGCGGTAACATTGAATTTCCGAATGAAAAACAGTAAGTAGTAGATTTTATTGAAATGATCCATTGTCATCTATTATTGGTTGGATGATTGATTGTTTTCGTTTAGTAGAATAGTGTTATATTCCGTACTAATAGGAATATATTCTTGAAAAATAAATGGATAAAATAGGTAAAGGTTTATTGTAAAAACCAGTACAATAAGGTAACAGTTATGCGCACGATCGTCGCAAGTCAATCCAGTAGTGAGTGCTGCTATCTGAAGTTCTCGCGTAAGTCTGAGTCATACTCGACAGATCCCAGCTAAACGGTATCTAGCCACAATTTTCAAATCATGTAATAGTTAAGATTGTCCAATTGATTAAGCTTTGAACCGTTGTATCTTAGAAATGATTAAAGATATCTTACTGGAATTCTCCGAGGTTTTTATGACACTATTGGAGTCTACTTTGAGCAATAAGAATGTACAATTACTCTCTCAGCTTTACGGAAGAATCGTGATAAAATCGCTCATATACGAAAATGACATGTTCATCATTAATTAATCATAGCTGAAGCTCATGAAGAATTGAAATAAAGTTCAAATAATTATATATATATATATATATATATATATATTATTCCAGGATCATTTTTCAACTTATTCAAGATGATCTTCGCTCTCTCTAACCTTCTAACTTTCTTCCCTGGAGTAACAAGTTGCCTCAGATGTTTCCTGTACGATTTCATTTTCAAGTCTTTTTTCACTGCTCTTTGAACTGTCATAGCTGAAACTCCTCTCTCATGTGCCAAACATCTTATGAATTGAGTTGGATCTTTTCTAATTGATCTCTTTAGCTCTCAGTTGAAATTATGATCCCTCTCCCTGTTGTGACCTCCTGATCCAGTTTTCCTCTCTACTGTTCCCTCTTTTTAAACTTGTTCACCGTTCTCTTGATGGTTCTTGAATGGACTTTGAAAATGGAATCCAGAGTATGAATGTCGGTACAATTCCTAAACGCCTGAATGATCGTTTTCCTTTCACCATTTCTGATTGGCATAGTGGGCCTGACATAAAAAGATTTTAACCTGTTCTCTTTCTAGCTGAATACCTCAAATGGTTTTTCAGTGATTCTTACAACAAATTGTGTCAAGATGGCTAAGAGCCTTATCTGAAAACGTGAAAAAAAGAAACTCAGTTTAGTGTTTTTTGTGGGATAGACAATTATCTTATGCTGTTACACGATGTGGACAATTTTGCTGATACAAAGAACTGAGAAAAGTGCTCAAAACAATACCATGTAGCGAAGATATGAAGTGAATTGCAATAGTTTTGAGAGATGTTAAGTGATGTTATAACAATCCTAGATTATTAAAATATCATTACTGTATATCTAATAAGCTGGTCTGTCAACTTTTGTCCTTCCAGATTGAAGGAGGCGGCTCTTTGAACACACCATGCTAATACTTGCTTGTAACAGTTGACTATTTCGCAGAATGCAGTCGGGACGTGAAGACAATTTGGAAGCTCGTTATGCAATAAAGTTTTTCGTTGACAAAGATGGTCATCAAAACTGTCCACCATCTTCCCTACTGTACAGACCTTGCTCTCTGTGACTTTTTTTGTTCCTCAACATCAGGGGAAGTCGTTATAAAGACATTGAGAAGATGAAGGAGGTTGTGACAAGGGTCGGGGATACCTTTACATTGGATGACTTCCATGAGGCCTTCACGAAAGTGACTGGTATGTTACAAAATGTACTTTGAAATCAGAAGATCCCACTTTGAAGGTGATTACAGTTTTGTATTTTTTTAAAATTAATAAATTACCTTTTACAAGTCTGATACCTTTGTAAGTGCCTGTACGTTGAAAGATTTATTTTTGGAACATTGGGGTTGCCAATTGTAAAGATGTCCGTTTGTAGAGAGACGAATACTATTTCTATTATTATACTTTCAATGTACGGGATTCAAGTAAACAACAAAAAACTCCAAACTGTGAATCAACAAGTATATATTGAAATAACATACAAGAATAAACATGCAATAAAATTGTATTCAATGTAGAGATTAGGGGAAAGAAGTTGTTCCCTTTTAATTGTATTTTGATTTGTAATTGACTGTTCGAAGGAAGTTCTTTTTGAGAGAAAAATGTTCAGGAATCAATATTAGAACGAGGTTTGTTTGTTAGAATAGATAACACAAGAATACAATTGATCAGAAATGTGTTGTGTTATAGAATGGTTCGAAATTAACAGAGCCCTGGTTAG